AAAATAAAAAATAAATAAATAAACTGTTATAAAATAAAAAAAAAGGAAAGATCAATTTCCCCCAGTTATTATTTCCTCTACAAGACAGTTTTTTGCCAGAATCAGCAGCCTTAATAACAAGCCCTGAGAAGCTAACTGTGGAATTGAGGCTACAAAACAGAGAAGGGTAGGGAGGAAAACAAAGTGAACAGAGACACAATGGAGGCTGGTCCAGTCTGTGGTGCCTTGGTGGTGGGTGTGGTGTGGTGACATTCATCTTAGGTGGTCAGATCCCTAGCCTCTGAATTACACTATGTTGTAAATGTAAACCAGTTACCTCAATTAAAAAAAAAAAGTTGATTTTTAAAATAAATTCCATTCTCTTTTAATATTTTTACTATTTGATATCAAAACAATTTATTAGGGCTATTGTTTCGCTTGTGAAATGCTTCCTGTGTTTCTGGAATTGTGGCTGATAAACCTATGGATAGGAGCCAGAACAGAGAAAAATGAGAATTTGGAAAGGTGGTGTAGACTGAGGTTACAGACATAAAGAAAGGCCTCACAGGGCCCTCCATGGTAGCGCAGCAGGTTGGAGTGCTGCACTGCAAAGCTAAGTGAAGCTGTGGCAGCTTCAGTGTGAGTTCATCCCTGCCTTGGAGGTGACCCATATGGCGAGGTAGACCTCTCATGCTCTCCTGCTGCTCCCCTCAGCAGTGCACTTTGTCGATCTGCATGTTCTGCTCCCCACTCTGTCTCTGGTGAATCCTCTTGCTGCACCTGTTCCTCTGGCTGTACCCCAGTTCTGAAGAAAGAAAGAGGGAAGGAAGGGAGGAAGAAAGGAAGGGAGGAAGAAGAGAAAGAAAGAAAGAAAAGCCTTACAAAGAGGCAGAGCTCTAATTTTGATGATTTTGAGTTTAGGTGGGTCTTGAAGAATGAGTGAAAGTGGGACAGAAAAGAAATAGAGAGCACTTTACTCATGGTGTCTGTTTTTCCTACCCCGGGGAGTAGGTATTGAAAGATCCACTTTACAAACAAAAGAAACAGAGTTTACAGAGATTACATATCATAGCATCACCCTACAAACGGCAGATGAAAAAGCTAGAATTTATTATGGTTTCTGCAACCTCGAACTTTTTATAGCCTGTGAATGGTCCCCACAAAACCACAGAAATGGAGGAGAAAGCAAGGGTGAAAAGCAGACTGAAATTCACACCTGCTACCTCATTTAGTTTCATAATAGTTCTACAATCTAGATACTATCGCCTCTGTTATTTTTTTTTAATTTTTATTTATTTGTGCATACAGAACTGGAGTACAGGCCAGAGGCACAGGGGCGGTGAGAGGATTCACCAGAGACAGAGTGGGGAGCAGAACAGGCAGATCGATGAAGTACACTGCTGAGGGGAGCAGCGGGCAGGTCAGGAGAGGTCTGCCGTGCCATGTGGTCACCTCCGGGGCAGGCGGGGATCGAACTCATGTGGAAGTGGCTTTCAATTCCCAATGCTGTATCACCTCTGTTTTTAAAGTGAAAAAACCGACTCAAGAGTTCAGTGGCATGCGCGGGCTCAAAATCCACGGTCCCAAGCATGTTAGAGAAAGGCCTATGCTTATGTTTACCATATTGTATTATAATGTATCTGCAGATTTCTCAACCCAACCAGCCTGGAAACTCAAACTATGCTAAGCTCTTAACATGTACTGTACCATCTCATTGTCATCACAACTGGTTTGTGACCTGTGTAACCAAGATGGTTTGGTACAAAAGCGAAACCACTCTGGCTTGTGAATCTGACAGACCTGGTTCAAATCTCACTTCAACCAAAGTAAACTGTAAGAACATGAACTTGTACTCCTCTCACCAAATCTGCTTCCTTGTGTGTAAGATGGGTATTGTCTATTTTCCACAGATAATCACATGAGAGTTTATGTATATACTGGTACAGGGGAGATATCTATATACATATGAAAGAGAAAAGGAAAGAGCATTTAGCAGAGCAAGTGGGTCATAGCTAGTACTTATTACTCTCAATTTTCCAGTGAAGAAACTAAAGCACACAAAGGATGACTGATTTGACTGAGTACGCACATGGCTTTTAAAATCTATCAGCGAAATATCTGTCTGGCTAAAATCCATTAGACATCATGATTTAAGTACACAACTAATGGGACCAAATTATGGAGGTCTTGAAAGTCAGACTGATTATGAGTGAAAAAGTTAGGTTTCTTCAGTTAGAAAAAAAAACAATGATCAAATAAATGGACCCAGTTTCTCCTACTTTTATATTATAAACAAAATCCATGAAACAGTACACTTAAAGCTATCTTTTTTCTTTTAGAGATACAGTCATGTACCATATAACAACATTTTTAGTCAACAAAAGACTGAATATATGATAGTGGTCCCTATATGTAGCCTACGTGTCTCATAGGCTATGCTGTCTAGGTCTGTATAAATTATCAGTAATTCTATGATGTTCACATAACAACATTGCCTAATGACACATTTTTCAGAACATATACCTGCCATTAAAAGTCACATGACTGATCTACATTAAAGTATTTTTTGTGTAGGGTTGAAAGCAGGAGAGATTAGGATATAGGCATTTTATTTATGGAATAGCAAACTAATCTGTACTACAAGCCCAGGATGTTAAGGCTCCCTAGTGTCATTAATAGAGAGGTTCCAGGAGCCCTCTATATTGTCAGAAGTGTTTGCTAGGGCTCTTCCTGGTGGCACAACAGGTTAAAGCACTACACTATGAAGCTCTCAGAAGCCACTGCAGCACGAGTTTGATCCCTAGCCTGGGAGCTGACCCATATGGCATGGCAGACCTCTCTGACATGCCTGCTGCTCCCCTCAGCAATGTATTTCAGTAGATCTATCTCTGGTGAATCCTCTCACCCACCACACCTCTGGCCTGTACTCCAGTTCTGTAAGCATAAATAAATAAATCTTTTAAAAAGTGTTTGCTTATGCTACAAAACACTTGCAATATTATGTTTTCAAGCAATCTTTTAAAAACTTATGAACACTGCCATCACCAAATGAGGAAGCAGCAGATCCCAGAATCAAGCAGGTTAAGTATAGATTTTAAAAGGCCTCCCTGGTGGTGTAGGAGTTAAGTCTCAATACCATCAAACTATGCGGCCTGTGGCCTGAGTTGGATCCCTGGCCAGGGAGCTGACCCAGATAGGGCACAGCATACCTCTGCTCTGTCACCCGCTGCTGCTCCCCTCAGCAGTGTGTTTCAGTAGATCTGCCTGTTCTGCTCCCCACTCTGTCTCTGGTGAATCCTCTCACTGTCATTGTAAGGTTAAAATCCCCGCCCATGGGGTTTAGCTGCCTTTTTTGCACATGCAATGTATGGTGAAGCATGATCACTGACTGAGAAGATGTCAACAAGAGAAATGCCCAGAACACCAGAGGGAGAACCTACATGGTTGCAACACCACCACTTCCCTGCCAGTCTAAGTACAACTCACAATAATCTGTTCTTTTGGAGCCAAAAATTGAGAGACTCTAATACCCAGAAAGGTCTCCCTTGCTCTTTTGCTCTCTACCCCATGTCTCCAAAGGGTATCTGGAGTCCTCCATTCATTCCTGATTGGAGTTCTCAAGAATCCCGCAGGCTGGTCTGGTATCTGATGAAATACACCTTACCCTATAAACCCTGGGGAGCAGAACAAGTGAATCTACTGAAATACACTGCTGAGGGGAGCAGCAGAGAAGACAGGAGAGGTCTGTTGTGCCATGTGGGTCAGCTCCCTGGCCTTAGGACTGAGGCTTAACCCCTGTGCCACCAGCGAGGCCCACCAGGTGGGCCTTCAATGAACTCACTGAGCATAACTCATTTATTTTTGCAGAGGCTTGGGTGAAGGGCTAGAAACCCCTTCCTTGTCTGAAGGGTTACCAGAAACACAGTAAGGCTGTCTTTGTATTCTAGTTTCCAATTAGAGCGAAGACAAGGGTAAAAAAGAGAGAATGTGAATGGACAGATGCATTAGAGAGACACATTTTAAATCTAAAAAAATCTTAGTTATCTGTGGCCTACGTTAGGCTTACATTTAAAAGAGATAAGTAATCTGGATACTTTATCCATATGGGCTTGGGTATATTCTATTCTGCCTCAGTGCCCCTTGGTTTTACCTCCTAGCATCCACCTCTCAGGCTCTGTTACCACGGGGCTTGATGGGGAGC